GTTCATCTAGCCAGGTGTTTAATTTTTTTATACTTGGCACAAGACACAAATTAAAAAAACTAACAAACCACTTACCTTTACCTTTGATATACCTTTGAAGAGTTTTGCGAGTTTCACTACTCTCAGAGCCCAGCCATGGGCCAGGCTCATCTGGTGCTTGCCTGGTCAACCAGGCTGTTGCTGCTGGAGGCCCACTGCCACACATATCCATCACTTAAGGTGAAATCCAACCAACCAAAGGCTGTTTTCTTTCCTTATCATTCTTTCTTATGACTGTCTATATAAACCAGTTTAAGAGTGATATTTAAAGAGATACCATTTTAAAGAAACTTTGTTAAAAAATAAAGTTGTGATTTAGGTGAACGTATATAGTACATAAATGAATTTATACCTCAAACAGTGAATTACTGGTCAAAATAGGGGTCAGTGCACTTAAGCAAATTTGTACAAAGCAATACCACATAGAGCAGGGAAAACCTGGTATGTTAAAAATTTAGACTGCATTATAATAATTGTCATAAGCATAAGCCGTGTCTTCAAAAAACATTGGAAAGCAGAAATCAGAACAAATGAGCATGCATCATCTATCTAAAATAGAAATTTGTTGAAAAATTGAGTTTCCTACAACCCCCAAGATGAGGTCAGAATGTAAAAAGAGAGAGAAACACAAATCAGAGACAAACCTTTATTTGAAAAAATATACAATACAGTAAAAATATTTGTATAATATACAGTAAAATCTATTACTGTATAACCATTTACCTCATATCCAAAACTTGTCTACTATGAGGGTTGCATCCTGGGGGACAAAACTGAAGGGCCCAAATGGAAATATAACAGACAGTGCTCAATGATACACTGACTTTCTTCGGCTATGCTGGATGGCTTACCCTCCAGGTTAAAAATCCAAACAAAACTTAACTTAATCCAATGAATCAAACCTAACCCATTTTAAACTGGACTAGGAGTTAAATTCTAGGTTAATAATATCATCTTTATTTCTACAAGCACATGTACAAGGTATACAGGCCTAGGTGATATCAATGACATACTACTATATAGTAAGCCCCTTGTTATGCAGAGCATTTTGGGCAAATTAAGTCAGTATTGTCCCAGGATGCGACCACACCAGTCGACTAACACCCAGGTATACCCATTTTACTGATGGGGAACGTAGACAACTGGTGTAAAGAAACACGCCCAATGTTTCTACCCTCGCCAGGAATCGAACCCGGACCCTTGAAGCATGAAGCAAGAGCTTTTAGCCACCAGGCCACGGGGCACCATAGGGTAGATCGGGGAATATTATTTATGCCAGGTTACCAAATAAAAGCTTTCCCCTAGTCCCAAAAAATGAGTAACATTTTACAACTGCTACTCAATGGATTTAGGCCATTAATTATACTCTGAAGTGTAAAATATTAACTTGGTTAAGCAGTCACGGTAACACTTTGCTGCACAAATGAGAGACAACAATGAAACCTAACAAAACCCACTTAACCTAAATTAACACAACTTAACCTTACCTCTGTGGTCAATACTGCCTGTCTTTCTCTACATTGGGCCAGGAGCTTGCCATGACATCAAAATAATTGCTCAATGGCTCTTATGTGCTGGGGAGTCAAAATTCATGTAATATACTTGTTAATATCAACAAAAATAACAATCTGCACAAGAAATACTTAGTCCATGGTGTACATAGGTTGTATATATTGTAAAACGTAAACCAGCTTTACAAAGCAACTGGTAACTACAGCCAGCTTATTTTACAATGTTCTTGAGAGCACACAAACCTTATGGGCACATAAAACGGACAATATGTTAATTTCACCTAACTCAATAAAGTCAAACAACATAAAAAATATCCGTTGGAGTCCCTGTCAATTTACCAGTAATAAGTAAGTTTATATGGGCACAATTACACGTAAGTACAATTATACAAGTTTTAGGCGACTACAATCACCTTATATAACAAGCGAACTGCCTGGCCATCATTGTGACTTTCTGTTTCAATTAAATTATGATATATAAACACATTGTAACCTTTGCAAAGAAATAAATTTTTATTATAAAAAAAAATCAGCGACTTATTTCCACTGGGAGGCAATTCGGTGTTACTCGAGGAAGAGAAGGGTTGCTCCAACTCCTTGGATTAAGAGCCCTTCAATATCATCATACAAAACCATTGATACTATAAATTATGAAGAGTAATGTTACCTTCATACTTGAGACGAGACTCATCCAATATGTCCTTCAACTTGCTGATTGCTTCTCCTATGTGGCTTCCAGTATCTTCCTCACTCATGTTCCCTACCCCCCAGGGGCCAGGAGCTGTGATTCAACACCAAGCAAGTGAGCACACAGTGCTGCGACCCACACGGTCAACAACACAAGTACAAACTGCAGAATAAGTGTGAGGAAGCTAGATAAGTGATAACAAGACCCCAGCAGCAGTTGTTGGCTTGATGGTTCATAACAACTCTACCACCTCATCTACCTCAACCTCTAAGTAAGTTTATTTAGGTATACAAAATTACACTTACATAGATTATCATACATAACAGCATGTGTACAGTACCTGGGATAACAAAAAAGTCAGAGTGACTTATTTCCATTGGGGTCCTTTTACCTTATTATTATAATATAAAAGAGATAATATCTTATTATTATGATATAAAGGAGATAATATCTTATTATTATGATATAAAGGATTATTATTATAATCAAGGGGGAAGCGCTAAACCCGTAGGATTATACAGCGCCTGTGGGGGGATGTGGAAGGTATTCAGGCTTAATTCAGGAAACTGAAGCACAGATCCAATTCCCTGAATCAAGAGCCCCTCACCAGCGTCAAGGAGCCTTCCTTGAGGGGATGATATAAAAGAGATAATATCTTATTATGATATAAAGGAGATAATATCTTATTATTATGATATAAAGGAGATAATATCTTATTATTATGATATGGAGATAATATCTTATTATCATGCTATTAGACTATCTACTACACGAGGGTCATTAAGACTACTTACAATATGAGGGTCATTACTTGGAATAAGGTTTTGAGACTGATCGCGGGTTCTATCGCCGCCCGTGGTGTGTATTTTTTTTTTTAATAAGGTAAAATTACACGTGTTAGCTAAAAAATAAAAAATCATTCCCCTCCCTTTCTGTAGCTACATTCATCAGACACCTTTTGGCACTCTTCTTGAACTGGTTCATGCTATGACTGGCTTTGACATGTGCAGGCAGTCTGTTCCATTCCTTTATTGTTGTACAATAAAAGGTGTTTGACGCCTGGCCACTGACTGTGGCTACTACAAAATTGTGTTCTCTCCCCCTAGTACTGTGATTGTGCCGGTTCCCAACCTTGACAAAATTGGCAGCAAGATATTCTGGACACTGTTTGTGAGCAATTTTATAACATGATTTAGCTTCAGTTATTTTACTGTCTTCAACATTCAGCATATCCAACTGCTGTAATTCATCCTGGCCTACATGCTCTCTTGGTCCCAGGTCCAAGATGAATCTTACCATTTTGTTCTGGGTGATTTGCAGTCTATCTTTCAGTTATTTTGTCAAGGCAGAGTACCATGAAGAGCAAGCGTAATCCGTATGACACTGTATAAGGGCTAGACATAGGGTCCTGCGAGCCTCAGTAGGTAGACACTGTGCTTGTCTGTAGAGGAATTTCAGTCTGGCATTCGCTTTCTTTACCACACTGTTCCCTATTAATTCTCCTGACATGTATGGGTCAAAGGGGATTCCCAGATATTTTACTGAGTAAACTGAAGTGATGGGCTCCCCATTACACTGGACATTAAAATTATTTACCCTTCTCTCAGATTCTGGGCATCCACAAACTGAAAAAAAACAAGAATATTGTGCTAACTAAACCTAATGAAACACCACTGCATCCCACTGAAACAGCTAACAAGATAAACGACTTCTTCTCAACCATAGGATCTAATCTTGCCAGTAAAATCCCACGTAGCAATGCCCATGCTGGGGACTATATAGATGAGAATTTCCCAAATTCCTTCTATCTTGTTCCAACTGAGCCCACCGAAGTCACTGAGATTATAAAGTCACTTAAAAATAACTCAGGGAACCTGTCTCATGTCCCACCATTATTGTACAAGCGAGCAGCCCATGTCCTTTCGCATGCTATTTCATTACTTTTTAACAAGTCACTAGAAACTAGCACCTTCCCGAAACATATTATTACTCGGTTAGATAATTTCCAGTAGATCCTTCATGTGTTAGCCCAAATCACCGACCAGTATGTTTTAAATAAGTGACACACTGATCAGATCCGACTGGTTCCGAACCCTTGACTGGTCCGAACCCTTGACCGGTTTCAAACGGATTCGTTGGACAATAAAGTAAACAGATGGGGTTGTAGGCGCCCTTATCAAACACAAACAATAAATATAAAATACACAAATAACCCGCACATAAAAGAGAGAAGCTTACGACGACGTTTCGGTCCAACTTGGACCATTTACAAAGTCACACTACTTATGGAAAATTTTCTAGGGTGATTACTTGTACATACCGCAACATTACATGCATACGAGTAATCTCCTCGGGAGACCCCAGGACCCCAATTCAAATTCAAATTCAAAGTTTATTCTCTATAAGGATTACAATGCTGAGTTTACAGAAATTTGGTTATTGTGTGGTTTACATGTAGTAAAATTGTGATTACAGAGTGTACCACTAGAACGCTTAGCATGGCTAGGCATTTCGGGCATACTTAGTTTTATTCTTAATTGTAAAATATTTACAAATTATGAGGTAAGTTGGTATTATGGCTAAGTGACTAAATACTAGTTTGTAAGTTTAGCAATGTGAATGCTTTTGTTTTGGCACAGTACATAGTTTCAGTGTTGGAGTATCACAGGATTCATTATTTTAAGATTGAGATTAATTTTTTCTGTTTATGGTCAAATGGAGTGAGTGAGTGTAAGTGTGGGAAACCCCAGGTGGTATTCGTGCAGTTAGTTGACGGGGTGTATCAGGGAGATAAGATGTTTTCTAATGGTAGTTTTGAAGGTGATGAATGTGTCTGCAGTTCTAGAGTTCTCAGGTAGGGTATTCCAGATTTTAGGGCCTTTGACATACATTGAATTTTTGTAAAGGTTTAGTCGGACACGGGGAATGTCGTAGAGATGTTTGTGTCTGGTGTTATGCCTGTGAGTTCTGTCACAACTATCAAGAAAGCGTTTTAGGTCAAGGTTGATATTAGAGTTTAAGGCCCTGTAGATGTAGATTGCACGTAGTAAGTGTGGATGTACTGAACGGGGGAAGTAAGTTTAGGTCTATAAAGAGTGGGGGGGTCTGTTGCCAGGTATGGGATTAGTGTTTATTCTTACTGCAGCTTTTTTTTTGGGTTATTATTGGCTTTAGGTGTGTTGCTGCAGTTGATCCCCAAGCACAAATAGCATAGGTGAGGTATGGATAATAAGTGAGTGGTATAGTGTGAGAAGGGCATTTTGCGGCACGTAGTATCGTATCTTGGAGGGATCCCAACCGTTTTTGGATACTTTTTTGGTTATATGTGGATATGGGTGCTGAAATTCAGGTTGTTGTCAAGGTATAAGCTAGGAATTTTCCCCTATTATTTCTGGGAAAATTAGAGTGTTGTCAATCTTAATGTTATTTGTGCATCTCCTGCTCTGCTTACCAAACTAATATAGTAGGTTTTGTCACTGTTAAGCGTAATTTTTATTGGCTGTCATCCAAGTCGATATTTTAATCAGCTCCTCATTCACAATGGTGTTGAGGGTGGCAAGATTAGGGTGGAGATGACATAAGTCGTGTCATCAGCAAAGAGAAGGGGTTTCAGGTGTTGGGATACGTTTGGAAGGTCATTGATGTATATGAGGAAGAGCGGGGGACCAAGGACACTTCCCTGCGGAACTCCATTTATCAAGTGGCCGGGGTTGCTGATGCTGTGTCTTTAATGGTGACGTACTGATACCTATTAGTAATGTAAGTTTTTGAAAAAAGCAAGCGCATGGCCTCTTATACCGAAATGATCAAGTTTGTGGAGTAGGATGTCGTGGTCTACTGTGTCAAAAGCTTTTCTTAGGTCAATAAAAATTCCTAGTGGATATTCCTTATTTTCCAACGCTGTGGTAAAGCAGATCTAGCATTTTTATGATTGCATCATTAGTGCTTTTATTTTTCCTGAATCCAAATTGGCAGGGGTTGAGTGTGTTTTGAGCCGTTATAAATAAATTTACAGTCTCCTGTGCACGAGTTTCTCAAAGATTTTGGATAGCAATGGTAAGTTAGATATTTGGGCCCATAGTTTTTTAAGTCTGTAGGGTCACCACCTTTATGTATTGGTGTAACCCTTGCCATCTTGAGTAGTTTCGGGTAGGTGCTAGTCTCTAGTGACTTGTTAAAAAGTAATGAAATTGCATGCGAAAGGACATGGGCCGCTCGCTTGTACAGTAATGGTGGGACATGAGACAGATTCCAAGAGTTATTTTTAAGTGACTTTATAATCTCAATGACTTCCGTGGGCTCAGTTGGTGCAAGATAGAAGGAATTAGGGAAATTCCCATAAGTCACTCTGTCTGACTTTTTTGGGTTATCCTAGGTTCTCTACACATATGCTGCTATGTATGATAATTCTATGTAACTGTATTTGTGTATACCTGAATAAACTTACTTACTTACTTACAACAACTATATTGTTTACCGTAGCCACCCCGTGTAGACATGTGAGAAAACTTAACCACCTCTGGTCACTGCAGGTGGCCCCTCGACCCTCACTATCTTATCCATATCTATCCGAGACCAGTATAAATTGGGTAGCACCCTCAAGTACGGCGCTACTAATTAATTGTGGACTGTATAGATTATGTTAGTGTAACTGAATGAAGGGGGGGGGGTAGGTTACACATGGATATATCCATCAAGGAAAAACACTTGTACATAATCTCTCCACTTACCAGATATTCTCTGGTGGTCACTTGATGTAGCTGGATCACTCATAACCTATCCAATTACAACATACCTAACTGGCCAGTATCAGTCTGCTATAACTAGAAGGGTTACTTAACTGTGGGTGATTGATACTCCTTATTTCCTCCATTCACCATCTCATTTCGATGTCCTGCTACACCGACACGGTTCTCATTCCAGCAGGACGAGGTATCCGTTGGTTTGTCCCGGTTTAGAAGTCGTGACTCAATAAAGCCTTCACTATCCTCGGGACAGGAACAACGAGGTAAACATGTGCACACACACTCTGGGAATGGCAGTTCATATCGCTTCAACGATTCCTTAACTTAGTGTTATTATCACTGATTACATTACGATTTACAAGACGGTTTAATGTCTCATAATTATTATACACATTGGAGGCCACTCCATTAAGATTGAGACCGATGAGTGATGATTAAATCACGGGTAATTTTCCCCGGGACACAGTCCATGGCGATGCGCCAGTCACCTGGTCCTACCCTTATTCACTCATTTTAC